CTATTTAATTTGTCTCCATTCCTCCTTCCTCAGCCTTGCTGCCTGCACACAGTCATTTGGAGAAAGCTCCAGTGAGCAGCGCCCTGCAGAAGGCCTCTCTCTTATGTAACACACTAAGGGAGTCCTCAGTTACCATTTTGCTCCAAATCAGCTGACACAAGGGTTTCTGGCTGGGGTGGGCTGTGGGTATCAGGGTGTTACAAATGGGGTGCAGGCCTCATTCCCTGGGGGCTTTTATTTTCCTCCTTCAAGCCCCCATTCAAGAGCCAGGAACAAAGGGGATAGGTAACTGATCCATCTTTGGGTCTCCCTTCACTTCTACCCGCCTCCTGGGCAGCCCCTCTGCTTTGAAAAATCGGGGAAAGCTTGTGGGACCAGGTAAATAGTGCTGACCTGGGCCGGCCCCTCCTCCCGAAAGGCAGGTCGACCATGTCAGGGGCAGGCTGTGCAGAGCCCTGGAGGGCTCACCTCTTCCATTCCCCCAGACCTCCCTGCACAGAGCTAGTGTGATCTCCCAGGAAGGCTCCCTGCTCAGCATGCCTCTTGTTAAAAACACCCAGGACAACTATGAAATACTTCTCAGGAGAGCTAATGCCTCTCTCAGGTTTGAAACATTCTTAAAGCCCTGGTAGGAAGAAATCACCCAGGAGTACAAAGTCTAGTCAGTAGGATCCCTAAGCAAGTGTGAAAGGGTTCTCCTCCAAAAGGTTAATCAAAAATAGTTCGTAGGTGGCACTTGGTTCACGGATGGGTTTTTCCCTGTTGTGACTTACGCATTCTCAAGAACAAGCTAGGAAGGCATTTATTTTCATTTTGTTAGTTCTCGGATGGTACTGTACTTTCTGATTAGACCTTTTTAATTTTTAAAACTCTGCTGGAGGGTTTTCAACCGTGAAAATGTAAATGAAAAATAGACTCTCCCTTTGAGGCTCCTACAGGGCCGGTCAGAGTGAGTAAACCTGCCTGGCCCCCACTCACTTCTCCAAGTAGCCCTGTCTGAACTCAGGGAGAGTGATGGTGGCAGGTTTTGGCACCTTTAATGCTGGCACAAGGCGAGCTCTTTGAAATGAATATCTATCCTAGTGCGGTGTGCAGTGTTCCAGCCGACTAAATGGGCTTCCCTTCCGCCTCCCGGCAGTCCTGGGGGACAGAATGAATGTGATCTCCCAGGAAGCGTTTCCTCAGAACGTCCTCTGTGCTTTTGTTTTTGTATTAAAAAGATGTTTTTGCTTTCCTCTCATTCCTCCACCTCACTCTGTAGCTCCAACAATGGACAGCAGTTACCGTTTGTGTGTGTGTCATTTGTAAACTCGTGTCATGTTGGGACTCACAAAGCCCAGACATACCTCAGGTGTGTCCTGTGCTTCTGCCGTTTACTCATGGCTCAGAGGGTCACCTGGAGACTCACAGTGGGGTCGGCCTTTCCCTCCGACAGGTCTCTCCCCACAGTACCCCTCTCCCAAGTGGCAGGGGAAGGGGGTTCCCTTGGAGAAAGCTCCCTGGATTAGAGGAGGCCAGACTCAGGTTGTGCAGGGAAGCGATACTGGCTTAGCCTGGCCACTAGCAAGCCCAGAGCTCCTTCTGTCCCCCTGGTATAGCTCCTTTCAGGACGGGAGGCGGCAGCAACCTCTCCACGGACATTTTTGAAACTATGACAACTAAGCCAGTTTACAGGTAAAATTCCGGTGTAGCCCCAAACAACCCGGGTTATTTAAATTTGAGTTTTTTCCACATGTGCACACAGGCATACACACAAACACACTCCAACCAGGGTAATTACCAGTGCATCCATACTGGCCCGCTCTGGTAACAGCAACCACGACCAACAAACTTCTTTTCTGAAGAGTAAAAAGAGGGGGGGAAACCCTCCATATCTTGTGAATGGTCATCTCATACTGCTTAACACCGGGAGACAGCCACTGTCCAGACACCCTGCTCCTTTCCTAGGAACAGGTAAAGCCATCCCTCCTCTTCTCCCCCAAGACCCAGCTATTTTTAAAAGCTAAAATTTCTCTTTCCAAAGGGAGGAGAAGGAATGAATTCCATTAATGAGTTAGGTACCCGGGACCTGGCTTGTCTAGGGCCCCTGGATTTGTAAATAAATGACTTCCTGTTTATTGCGTGCATTTTTCCTAAACAAACAACAGCAACCTGAACTCCAATGCCTCTGGAGGATTTAATCCAGCAAATACTCCGACGTCTGGTTTGATTTCCACTATTTTTGTTTTCTTTTGTGTGTACTCACTGGAGCCCGCGGAGGGTCATCGTCCTGGGGCGTCCAGGCTGACTGGGGAGGAGTCACCTCTCAAGTTCTCCGGTTGCCACAGGGTGCTGGCCATCCAGTGCCTCACCTGGGGCGTCTCCGTTTTGCCCCGAATCTTTCTCACGCTGACCACGCTGACCACGCTGACCACGGCTCCGTGCAGCTCCCACCGCGAGGCCGCGTGCGAGGATCCTGTTGGCGCCGGACTGGGCTCACCCCGTGGCCGGCCCAGCCCACGCCCGCGCGGCACCCCGCGGCCCGGCTTGCGTCCCTGGGCGGGGACCGGGCGGGGGAGGTGCCGTGCGGGGCCGGGCCCTGGCCGTCACCCCAGGGTTGCTTGGGAGCTCGAGTTTCCGTCCGCGAGGAGCGGAGAAGCACCCCCAGGCGCCTCGGGCTCCCCAGGGTGCGGAGCCGCCCCGCCCCGGCCCCGCAGACCCCCACTCCCTCCCAAACGCGGCCACCCGCCGCGGGCCGGCCCTCGCTGACCTCGGCTGCCCCGCCGCTGAGCGGCAGCAAAGGGCTGGACCCCCATCCGGGCAGCGCGTCCCCTTCCCTGCGCGGCCCGCGGGGAGAAGCCCCAGGGGCCCTAGGGCGACCCGGGCGCCGCTCCGCGGGGCCGCAGACCTGGACGACTCCGGGGGTCCCGCTCCTTCCCGACCGCTCCTCCCGGCTCCGGGCCGCGGCCGCGGGGTGGGTCCCGGAGCCGCGGGCAGCCCGGTGCGCGGCGGGAGGCCGGCCCGGCGCCTGCAGTTCCCGCCGCGCTCGGAGTGAGCGCACGGCCTCCGCGGCCCGAGCCCCTCCGCCTGCCTCCCGCCCCCCGGAAACTTCCCACCGTCCCGCCCGCTCTCCCCTCCGCGCCCAGGTTCCCCGGCCCCGGCTCAGGACGGCTCTGCCCCCCGCCCCCCAGTCTCCTGGCCCTCAGGCCCGAGGGTTCCCACGATTGGAACAACTGTTATTGTCGGGCGGGGAGGCGAGCAGCACGGAGGCCGCGGGCCGAGGGGAGGTAGAAATGGTGGTGCAGACGGCTATTTCGACCTGTGTTTTAAAAAGTTTCATTGGACAATTATGGTAACCCCGCTAGAAAACTCCTTAAAAAAAAAAAAAAGATTTACTCCTGCTTCTGGAAAGCCGTTATTTTTTACATTGCTTTTAGGAAGATAGATGAACAAAACATCGCGTTTCCAGCTATTTTGATCTGTAATTAAATGGCAAGATCGGTTTGTATTCTCCTACGGCTTTTACAGAAGTTGCAGTGATCCAAAGTCGGGCTGCTGTGTCAGAGTGGCATTTTTATTAATGAGAACACAAAAAGCTTGCATATTCTTAGCCCTGCTTGAATTTAGTTGCTAAGCAACCGCTGTATGGTAATTCATCCGCGAAATTTAAATCTTGGAGAAAGGATCGTGCGTTTTGCTGAATGGTCGCCACGAGGAAAACAACTTGTGGGACTGGCCAGCTGGTCCGGCGGGGATGCCACCCCACCGGCGGCCGCCCGGCCCAGCACCCTCCGCAGCACCCTCCGCTCCTGGACCTCCCATCTCCCCTGGAGGCAGGCCCGCACCCGAGCGAGCCCTCTGCGTCCCCAGGGCTTCGGAGATCTGGCTGCCACTTTCCGCAGCCCCTCCCTCCTGCACCCACAGACGCGCGTGTACAGACACACACGCAGTGCACACACCGTGTCACCACGGGAAGGCCAGTCGCCCGGAGCCCTCCGAGGTCACTCCCAGAGCTGGCTCATCACAGAGCGCAGCCCCCAGCCCTCCAGAAGGCCAGGCTGCTGCCCTGGCCGGCAGTGACATCATGGGCTCCTGCTCGCCACGCGCGCCCACATTTCAGGATACTGGAACAAACACGGATGTGAAATCAAGAATGAAAGAGAGTAATCTAATTAATAGGCCATGAGCCAGGCTAACAAAATCAAAGAATCTGATTACACAAGTACCCCTCCTGCTATCTCCGCTGCCCCCACCCAAGCATCTCTGCAAGCCTCCGCAGGACTTCCTTTCCTAGACTGGAAAGTTCAGGAGGCAAACCCAGAGCTCGCTGATTTCCTTACTGAAACCAAGATCAAGCCCACGGCGGGCTCCACAGCCAGGTCACAGGGGAAACCCTAGGCCAGGAACCGAGATGAGAAGAGACTACAGAGCTTGAAGAGCTGGCCCCACACTCCTTACCTCCCACTCAACACAACAACACCTGCACTCCTTGCGGCTTATGCTGTCAGTAGCTGGACAAAGAGAGGGAGGCTTTTCACTCACAGTCATTTTAAGAAGACACTTTAAAAAATAACACAGCACAACTCGTTTTACTACATTACCTGGTTTCTGGGTCACCAATATCCTCAAAGTCTTAACTTCCTTTTAACACCTTCCCCAGCATGGATGTCTGTGCACTGCCAGGGACTAGGTTTTATCGTGGATACATAGCATCTGTTTTAATCTGTCCAGTCAGCCACTGCATTTCATGAAAGAATTCTGTAATTTCTACCCTTCTGCCTTGAAAAAAACCAGGTCCACCTCCTAAATAATTAATTTCAAGTCTGTATCCAGTGCCAATACTTGTTGCATCCATTTGAGAGTTTGATTAATTGCCCTGGAACTTGGGCAAACTAAACTCCATGTGGAGAGAATGCTTCTGCCTTGAGTTTAGTTCTGAAAGCTACACATTATTGATGGCTCTTACTCTATTTACATACAAATCGGTGCAAATATGCCCATCTCTTCAAATGCGTTTTGTATAAATATATAAAAGTGTCATTTTTGATTTAGCTTGAGCGGTTGATCATTTATTACAAAAATAAACGAATAAATACAACAATATATTGTTGCTTCCAACAAGATAAATACTTTTACAAATATATAATTTTAAAACAAATTTAATTGTTAAAATTATTTAAAATATTACACTTATCGATAAAACTATCAATAGTATATACTGCATTTAATATTAGAACCAGTTATTCTCTGAATTTTGAAACCATTCACACAAAACATGAGCATGGTAGTGAGCAAACGCTGGAGGCTACAAGGAAGCAGAGGGACTCTCAGATCAAGAATGAGCAGTTCTGTTTTGGAACAAAGAAGCAGTCCTTGGCTAAGGACTAAAAAAAAAGGGCAGAGAAACAACAGCAAAATGACTATTTTACATACACCTTGAATGATTTATCGCCCAGACTTGCAGGGGAAGATGGTTGGGTGAATGAGATGGCTGAGGCTTGGACCACAGGTCAGGAGCCACAGGAGTCTGCAGACTACCAATGGGCCTAGTTTGGGATTAGCCAGATTGATGGAACAGAACTTTGTCACTTTCCTTTGGGTTGGGAGGGGAGGAGGGCTGGATTGAAATGGAGGAAACAAATGGCTACTTTACAAAGCACAAGACACTTGCTCTGCAAAGAAATACAATGACCAAATTCATTAAAAAGATCTGGTGATATATAACAATATTTTCATTATTTACGTGTATAACAATATAAGCCTAACACAAACCTCTCAGTTATAGCTGCTCTCTTTTGTTTTTCACCCATGAATTTCATTTTGTAGATACATTCACAGGGTTGATTTCCAAAATATGGAGTGCCAGCATTAACTCACTTTAAAAATGCAAAATAATGAAATAAAATGGTCTTGCTTTTCCAGCTTCTCCAATTAAAAGTTACTCTGTTACCCCTAAATCAGGACTTCTTCCAAAGTAATCAGCAAAGGTTGCTCTTTAATAGGAAACAGTGTGAAATCGAATGGTAGTTCTTTTGTTGTCAGCCAAATCAAGTAAGCAAATAGCTCCTAAAATTTTATACAGACCCACTGTCTAATCGACCACTGCCATTCCTGGTGGGGAAACAGGGCTTCATCTCACGTGCCAGTGGTACCCATCATTAAAAACAGCCACACCCAATCCTCAGCTTTCCAATAAGGCCTTCTTGGCTTGCCCCTGTAGACCCTCAAGAACTGATGAAGTTTATATCCACTCCAGGTTTTAAATTTGCTGGGCAGGGAGATTTCAATAGCAAGAGAAAGAAGGAAACAAGAAAGCCAAGACAAGTAAATCGTGGTTTCTTATTTTCATTTTTTCTTCTTTCTGTTTAATAAATATGGCCTTTTTCAGATTTCACAAATCAAAATGATTGTGATTTTTAGTACTATCTGGTGTTTAAAATAATGCAACCCAACACACGGCCATCTGGCTAGGCTTGATTTATGAAAGTGACACAGGGTCTGTCTGGAAGAAATAACTGCTCCTTGTTGCTCGCACAGTTTTCCGGGTTTTTTAACCCCTACATTGATATCTTAGGGGGAGGAAGTGAGGATGAGAGAAGGCAAAAAGTGAGTGACAGCTAAATGGGATTAGGGGGAAATTATCCTATAAAATCACTGCTTTATCACCCCAAATACTTCTAAAAAGTCCAGTATGAAAGGACTCAACTAAGCACAGTCTTTAGTACTCACAACCTGAGGCATCACACTTTCGCTTTCCCACATGGTAAATATTGATACATTGATGTCATAAATGTGACCGCTCCGCAGGATATATCTAAGGAGTGATCCAAAAGCTAAAAGCCCAGGGTCAGTGAGGATACAGAGTCACACTGGAGAAACACCAAAACACAGACGTGCAGACTTTTAGGTCTGAGCTGGTAATCACACCGAGGGGAAAGCAGTGTGGACCACAGTCAGGACTTTGGAACTCCATTCTTTCATTACAGAAACAAACCAACAAAACAAACCAAACCCTAAACCAGCTTAATAATTTAAACTTAATTACATAATATCAATGGAATAGTTGTAAGCTATTCTTCACAACTATTAGTCTTCAGAAAAAGAAGAAAGAAACAGCAATGTGGTGGGGGAGGAGAGGGAAAAGAGGCTAAACTTGGGAAAAGGGCTCTGTATTAACCATTAATAACCAGCTGGCACGTTTTTTACTGGTGATGTAATCCAATCTTTTGATAAAGATGGTGAAGAACACAGGTATCTCCAAGAAAAGTAGTAAATACTCCCCTAAAAACATCCATTAAAATTACAGGAAAGGAAAAGACTGTGAAATTGACAGCTTACCAGGGAGTGCCGAGTAGTTAGAGCACTAGCAATTTCTGTCAAGTCTGTCCTTTACTCTAGATTTCCAAACACACCTTAGTGCCCCAGCGCTACGGGGCTCCCTCAGGCTAGCACTCAAGGATATGCATTAGTAAAAAAATATTTTCCAACTATTTCTTCCCACACAGTGTTTATGCATCAGACACAGACTATTTCATTCTAACAAATTTATTTTCTCGATCAGCTCTTACGGAATCACTACTCAAATTAAATTACAATCAAATGATCACATCAAAAGATACCCTTATTACCTAACAACTGTCCATATTTTCATTTCATTTTGATTTGTGCTCGTCTGAAAAAAACACGTAATACAAGATCTGGGGAAAAATAAATTACCATTTTGCAGCAGTTCATAAGTATTCTGAATAAAATATTAAAAGAAGTCATTTAATGAAAATATAAAGCAAATATTTTTAGATCAGCAACGGATCTAACAATCTATATTGCCGTCTTTTGAAAAGTCTGTTTATTAAAACCTACCAAAAACACTGCTTGGAAATGGCAGTATTATAATCACAGCCACAGCACCCATTCGATCAAAGTTGGCAACGGGTTGAGGAGCGAAGTCCAAGAAGTGCAGCGGCTGGTGCTCAGTCTTTCTAAATCCCTTTATGAGTCAGTCCAGAAATAAAAAATAAAAAATATTAATAAAAAAATTATTAGCGGTGGAATCCTTAGGCATCCTCCGTCCCAGAGGCAGCCCTGGCAGCCGGGCTGCGGTGGGCCTCCCTCCATGCCCAGACTGCGGCCCGTGCCCGGCCCTGGGGGCCTCTCCCACTCGGCGACGGATGAGCGGATGTCCCCTTCGCCCGGGCCCATCCCTCTGCTCCTTCGTGATGTTTTTATTTCCAAGGTTATTTGAAGGAAACGTGTTCTTTTGGCTTTGCTCTTCAGCTTGTTAATTTCAGAAGCTGTGGATATTATTTTTGCTGGAGACTGTTCTTTTTTTTCTCCTTCCCGTTTCATAGTCAGTTTGTCCCCAAATGACTTCATATGGCCAAGAAGAGCTGGTTCCCAGCAGAGTCGTCCCTGATTCAGCCCGGTGCCTCTGCTGCTTTCAGAGGCTCCCAGGAACCAAGTCCCGGTCGGTCGGTCACTTTAGGCAGCCCTTTAGAGGGGGGAAGGGGGCTTTTTTTTTTTAAGGGGAGAGGGCGAGGCAGGTGCTAGGTGCTGTCCCCTGTCGCCCTGGGGGCTCCTCGGGGCGGGCAAAACCTGGCGAGTGCAGTTTTGGTGCGCTAGGCCTCTTCACCCTTTTTAAAAAACAAAAACAAGAACAAAAAGCGAAACATCACCACAGTATAAATGCGATCCCAGGATCGCCCCCTTTTTCTCTTCCGCTTTTGCTTGTGTATACCGTATGGGTGTTTATTATATTTTGTTTGTTTGGTCCCTCTTCTCTAGGGCTCAGAAACCGTCTCGCCGGCCAGTCTCTCTTCTTTCCTCCAAGGGCGGGCATGCCTGTCTTTGGGCGGAGGGGAGGGCGGCGGGCCGGCGGGGACCGGGCGGCCCGGTGCGGGGGAGGCGCGGCGTTGGCGTTGGCGGTGGCGGCGGCGGCGGCGACTCTCCGGTCGCTGCGCCCGGCCTTCACTGCACGCTGGTCTGCAGCCCGTGGTGCGGCGGCGGCGTGTCGGCGCTGACGGTGCCCACTTGCGAGTAGACATCGTCGGGCGTCTGCTGCTGGATGCCGGGCGGCGTCATGCGCTTCTCCTTCTGGCGCCGGTTGCAGAACCAAACGCGCACCACCTCCTTCTCGAGCTGCAGGCTGTCGGCCAGGTTGGTGATCTCCTGGGCCGAAGGCTTGGGGCACTTGAGGAAGTGGCTCTCGAGCGCGCCCTTGACGCTCACCTCGATGGAGGTCCGCTTCTTGCGCTTGCGGCCCTGCGCCGCGATCTTGTCGATGCTCGTGGGGCTGCCGGTGCTCGAGTCCGCCTCCTCCAGCCACTTGTTCAGCAGCGGCTTGAGCTTGCACATGTTCTTGAAGCTCAGCTGCAGGGCCTCGAAGCGGCAGATGGTGGTCTGCGAGAACACGTTGCCGTACAAGGTGCCCAGGGCCAGCCCCACGTCCGCCTGCGTGAAGCCCAGCTTGATGCGCCGCTGCTTGAACTGCTTGGCGAACTGCTCCAGGTCGTCGGACGTCGGCGTGTCCTCGTCCGAGTGCGGGTCGTGGCTGTTGAGTCCCGGCCCCGCGCCGCCGCCGTGGTGCGGCGGGCCCTGGGCGTGGTGCGGGTGCGGCGGGTGCGCGTGGTGGTGGTGATGGTGGTGGTGGTCCGCCAGCTCGGGGGTGTCCCCGCGCACCAGCCCCGGGTGGACCAGGCTCTGCGCGCCGCCGCCCGCGCCGCCGCCGCCGCCTCCGGGCCCGGGGGGCGCGCTCAGCATGCCGTTCACCGTGAAGCCGCCGGGCTGCGAGTAGAGCAGGCTCTGCGGCGGCGGCTGCTGGCCTCCGGCCATGGACGGGAGGTGCGCGGCGGCGGCGGCGGCGGCGGCAGCGGCGGCGGCGGCGGCGGCGGCCCCCCAGCCCCCGGGGTGGCCCTGGTGCGGGGGCGGCGGCGGGGGCCCGAGGTGCGGCGGCCCGCGGTGGTGCAGCGCGGTGCCCGCGTGCAGGTCCTCGCGTCCGGCGCCGCCCTTCACGTCGGGGCCCTGCGGCGGCGGCGGCTGCGGCGGCTGCTGGGGGCTGCCGGCCATGCCCACGGCGCTGCCGGACCACGGCGAGCTCGCCTCCACGGCGGCGGCGGCGGCAGCGGCGGCGGCGGCGGCGGCGTGGGGCAGGGCCGTGACCCACTGGTGCGCGTGGCTGAGCATATGGCCGCCGTTGCTGGCGGCCATGGCCCCCTGCATGAAGTCGCTCTGGACCATCTTGACGGAGGACGGGTCCCCTCGGTAGGCGCCGGAGGTCACAGCGGCGCTGCCGGGCTGCATGCCGCCCCCGCCGCCCCCCGCGCCGCCGCCGCCCCCCCCGCCGCCGCCCCCGCCGCCGCCGGCTCCCGCCGCGTCCGAGTGGACAATGGAGCCGGCCGCCAGCAGGCTGTTCCCCGGCAGGTAGGGGTTAGAAGCCGCCGTGGCCATGCCGCTCCGCTCCCGCCACCCCACCGCCGCCACCACCGCCGCCGCAGCAGCAGCCGCGGCCGCCGCCGCTGCCGCCGCGCCCCCCGCTTCCCGCCTCCTTCCCTCACTCCTCCCCCGCCCCCGCCCCGGGCCCCAGTCGGCCCCCAGTCGGCCGCCGCCTGGGCCGCCTCCTCCGCCGCCGCCTCCTCCGCCCCCGCCGCCGCCGCCGAGGCCCCCGGCTGGAGCAGCAAGGCCGCTCGGCAGGGCGCGGGGGTCGCGGGCCGGCCTCTGGCAGCAGCAGCAGCAGCAGCAGCGGCGGCAGCAGCGCTGTGCAGAAGGGGGCTAGCTTCTCGGGGCGCGCTCCTCGGCCGCCCCCTTCACGGGGGGTCTGGGCCGGCCCCCAGCCCCGGCGCGTTCGGCTGGCTCCAGCGGGGCTCGCCGGGCGGGGCGCGGGCCTGCGCTCGGGCTCCCGGGCGGGTCTCGGGCTCCACTCCTCCTCCGGTCCCGGGAGCGCGGACTCGGCCGGGGCGCGGGGCTCGCTCCACCTGCTAAGTGGCGACTTCACAGGAGACAACAAAGAAAGAAGCCGCTCCTTTCTTCTTGCACCAAATTACGGATGACCCGCAGCCAGCCCGCCTGCTCCTTCCCCGGCTGCTCTCCTCCCTCCTCACGCACACATTTCGCTGCTCGTCCTCGGCAGCAGGAAAACTTTTGGAGTCCTTGAAGGCGGGGTGGTGCTGGCTGCCGGCGCGTGCGGAGCGGGGAGCGGGCTCCTGCTCTCCCTTCGGGTCCGCGGCTCAAGTTTTGTCCTGTCCTAGGAAAACTTCCTGCGATGCTGCATGTCTCTGCAGTTGCTACTGCCGGGGCTCTTGGTTGCCTCTGAAACAAGAGTCCTTTTCCATCCTCCTCGCCACAGCCACCGTTTGATGCGACATCTTTCCTTTTGGGCAGAAATGAGGAAACAAATATAACAAGGAAAAACACTGAACAGGAGGAAAAACGAGGTCGAACGACTGTTACCTTGTTGCTGAAGGTTGGGGTTGGTGTTTTATTTTTTTCCCAGCAGTTGTCTGGAGGAGGAGGAGGAGGAGGAGGAAGAGTGCATTGGTGGAGATGGAGGGGTGTGTGTGCATATAGGGGATCCTTGGTACACAACCAACTCCAGTGGGCACGCTGTGCGGCTTGTAGGTGCACGGCTGGCGCTGGCGCGGGCGCGGGCCGTGCGGAGCGGAGTTGCAGCGGGCGCTCGCTCGCGCCCTGGTTTGCGCGCTCTCTTCCTCCCTCACTTTCCCTCTTCCTCCCGCTCCCCTTTCGCCCGCCCGCCCGCCGGCGCTCGATCTGACAGTTCGCTCTGCGTCCCTCCCTCTCTGAGCGGGGACTGTCGAATGTTTACCCTCCGCCGCGAGCGCGCACCCACCACCACACTTTCCCAAATACAAGGAAGTCGAGCACCAGGGCCCCCGCTGATTGGCTACCTGCTGGGTGATTGGCAGGCCCGGAATGACTGGCTCCGGACGCGAGGCCCCCCTTCCGGCCGTTCCGATTGGTTGCTTTTTAATTTAGGCAGCGCGTCGTCGACGCTGGAAAGCGGCGGTCCCCCAGGCTCCCGCCCCCTCGCCACTTTCTCCGCCCCGCCCCTCTCCCGCCACCCCTTCCGCCACATCTTAACTCTTAGTGTCCGGCCGAGTGGTAGGCGTACCCTCCGCGGCCCCGGGCGTTCGCTGCAGGCCTGGCAGGAGGGAAGGAACGGGGAGAGAAAAGGGATCGAGGGGGGCAGGATCAGAGGGAAACAAAGAGGGGGAAATCCATGCAATACAGCCACCAGCCCACTCCACCCAGGACTGCGTCGCGTTGCAGCCCTCGCGCCCCCTGCCACCCCGCAGACTTGGGAAGCGCCCGGCGCGGGTGCACCTTTCGAGCTAATACCTATAAGACAGAGGTGTCCCCAGTGGTTTCAAAGTTTCCTCTTTCCGTCGCCAGCCGACCCCCGTCTCCGTCTCAGCGGGGGTGGGAAAGGGGAGCTCGCAGCGCCCAGAGCTCGGGTCGCCGCCAGGCTTCTTGGAAATCCGCCACCGCAACTTTCCGCAGTGGCTGCGGGCCGGAGGCGGCCCCCTTTGTCTAAGGTCTCGGATGCCGTCGTCTGGGGAACCTCCAGCCGGGGACCCGCGCAGTGCCCGCGCGTGCGGGACGGACCGCTCGCCGCCGCCGTGGCGCTCGCCCCCACTCCTCGCTCCCCTCCCTCGCCCTCCCCCTTCCTTCTCCGGGTCAGGCAGGTAGCTGGCGAGACCTGGTGATTTTGGAGGGAGCGGGTTGGCGGAGCCGGGCGAAGTGTTTGAAAAGCAGCCAGGCCGGCCTTTCCCCGTAGATACATCCCCGTAGATACATCGCCAGTGTATCCCGTCCGAACGGCCGTCGGAATCGCTGCTGCCGCGGGGGCCGGCCTGGCGCCCCGGGATGCACGCGCCGCGCCTGCCGCTTACCTGCGTGTGCGACTGTGTGTGTGATTTCATGTGGCTATTATGGCGGGTGTGCTTGCTGGCTATTCCTAGGCACGGTGGTGCTTTCTTTCTTTTCTGTCTCCAAAGGGTTTGTGTAGTGGATGGGGCTGGCGGCGACAAACGCTTTCTCGGCCCCAGCCGGGCTGAAAGGGTTAAGGGGGACGGGCGGGGGAGTGCAAGGGGTAGGCGGGAGAGCCGGGGGTGGGGAACGCGACCGAGCGGAAACGCTGCACAGTGGAACCTCGGCGAACCGAGCAAAAAGAGAAAGTGGCAACGAAAACAAGGGCAAATTGAACCGTCCTCGGGGATTTCCAATGAACCAACCCAACTCGGACATTCAATAAATACACCGTTCCTAATGAGTGTGTGCGCGCGTGCAACCCGCACCCCAGCTCTGCGGCGCGCCGCCTGCGCCGGCCTCCCCAGCTCGCTCCCGCGGCGGGCGCCCGGCCGCCGCCCTGGACCTGGATGCTCCGGTTCAATTGGGAACGGGCCGTCCTTCCTCCCGGGAGTGGTTCCTCTGCTGGGCTTAGGCAGGTGAACTCAGGTCAAGCCAGAGCCCCGCCGCGGCCACGCAGCCTCTGCGTGATGTCCGAGTAACAGTGGACGCCGCCGGATCTCATCCAGCTCTTGCTTTTGCGGGGAGAGATACCGGTTTAGGTAGGTTTCAGCGAAGCCATTATTGCTAAGGTATAGATGTGAAAAGCAGCAGAAACCAAACCCCCAACAGCACGAATTTTCCCCTCCGCGTCCCCCCAAGGTCCCTTTTTCTATTTATGTATGCGCGTATGTACATATAAAAGGTGGAACACAGATTTCATTGAATAAATCTGAGGTCTCCAGGTGCAGACGTCTGCAGGGTCGGTGCCAGCACCCCGTGTTTCCCTTTCCTGCCGATTTTGCTTGGATCCGGCTCAAAAACCCAGAGTCTCGTGGTTTTGTTTACACTGAATGGGGAGGATAGGAACAGAGCCATGGGCCGTCTTTCATTAATATACAGTGAGGATTTTGTCTAAATTACTGCTATGAATTTCACAGTACACGCTTTCAAAAGCAGTCTCAGGCGGCCTGATGAAACGCGATAGCGCCTCTGCAAACAGATCCGCTTTCTTTCTCCTCCAGGAGGGCGTGCGTGCTGTGGGAAGCCCCCGAACGCAGCGCTCCTCCGTCAGAGAAATACACTGCTACTCTGAGGTTCGTCCCCGCCGTCCCCCCTTTTCTCCTACTTAGTTCTCCAGTCGCTCCCGAGCCTCCCCCAGCCTCACTCCGCTTGCCCCCTCCCTCTGCGAGTGTGATTGTTTTGTCTGGAAAAAAAAACCAAAGTATATAACAAGGGGAGAACAGTTAGTGCTGACTTTCATTTGCATACATTTTCATATATTTTGTGAAAATAACAGACTAGTGGAGAGCTGGGCTCGGAGGAGTCAGTGTGAAGGGAAGGCTAAGGATGCGACGTTCTGGGGAGTTGAGAATATGCGTTCACCGCCTCCCGTCACTTGATTGAAAAAAAAAAATCTCTTATTTTAAAATCTAACCCCGGAAGTTTGTTGGGTAAGTGTTTTTCATCTTCTCTCCCTGCTTTCTCTTTCCCTGCCCCTTCTTTCGGCGTGTGAATGCTCGTGTAGGTTTGGGAGCTTGTCCTTACTGCTTGGGACAAGAGAGGGTTCACAGAGTGATCATTTGCAGTAGGAGGGGGAAGTGTGCTGGGGGGTGGGGGGAGAAACCGCCCAGCCCTGCTAAAATATTATATAAAAAGATGCACTCATTCCAAAGCTCCCGCAGCAAGGCACTTTGGGGGTGGGGGATAGCGCTACCCGTTTTAATTGTTGATTGTGACGGGGCAAAGGGCCCTAGAAAAGAAGCGCTTATAAAGCGAGCAGTATCATAAACATTTCTTGTTTGGAGAATTAAAAAAAAAAAAGAAAAACAAAGAGGGCCAGAGGGAGAGAACTGCCCTTTCTGTAGCCAGTGCTGAGGGGTGAACTGTGTGTGCCTGCTTGGGACTGGGGTGAGGGGATTCCTGCTGGGAGCAGGGGTGGAGTGGAGGGGCTCCGCAAGGGAGGGCAAAGGGCTGGAGATGGAGGAAGCAGGGGAGGAAGAAGAGGCAGGAAGCCCTGCACCCGGGTTAGAACCACCGCCGGGCCGGGAGCTGGCGGCTGTGCAGCTCCCAGCTTCTGGTGGAGCGTTGGTCAGAAGAGGGTGATCAATCAAAACTAAGCAGGGCACCCTACCCTTTACTGCCAACGGCTGGAGCTGGAGCATCGAACGCTGGGTTTTACTCTGTTTCTCAGATTGACAGTCGGCCTGGCCCCCTCCTAGCCACTGCCCCGGGGTTTTGTAAAAATTAAGGGTGCAGTTACTTGCTAGATGCAGTTAATTAGATAAATATGGCTGGAGGAAATGGCTAGGCCAGTTCCAAGCCGGAGGGGGCACCTTACCTTTGTGAAATAGGCTGGAGGGAATTCTCAAAGCTCCTTGGTTTTGTTCTTTTTCAAGGAAGCCTTGCCTGGGTGACGAGGGGGTAGCGTCAAAGGGCTAGAATTTTATTGCACTTTTGTATCCAGAACACCTTGTGATTTAAAATTTGTAGTTTCTTTGGCAACAGTTGAT